GACTGGTCTAGTTCAATCTCATTGTTGGTACATTATCGAATCCGTATTGATAATCATCTATATTACATGATAATGATCTCAAACTGTACCATACATCAGTGGGTGACTCAAACATTTACACTAATTCCATATTATGCAGTACACGAAGTTTGCTATGAGGTTTGAATTAGTGTTTAGATTCTTTTTGTGAAGAAATAATATTTCACACAATTAACACTCGAACAAGACTACTATTAAAGTTATTACTTTTATTATCACTCGCTAATTTGACTAATAATAATTATAATGCAATTAACACTGCCAATTATTCTTATAATCCTTAAAAATTAAAAATGCAAACATGCTCATTCCGTTCATTAAATTGAAGTATACATCTTAGTTATTAAGAGATAAAAGTGGACAATTTTCTGTTATTTTCAAAGTCATCAAACTAAATCTCATGTGAATCAAAGTTCACAGGTAATTTGGTAGTACGCTCAACTTCCCAATTTACATTTTCAGACAGATTGGCCATCATATGAGCATCGCTTGGAACATTGTGTTCCATTTCAAATTGACAATAAATGCTTGCAAAAAATTGGAGCAAAATTGTTTGCATGCAGCAAAATTTACATATGTCTATGGATGATCTCATATTTTACATTTGATACTATATTACATACTTAGACTTATTTTAGTATCTCAAAACTCAAATAATTGCTTTTCCTGACAGTTTCAATATTCTTTAGTAACTTCTGTGTTCCGTTAAAGTTTATAATTGCTTTTTTTTTAATTACGCAAAACTAAATTTTGCGCAATTTAAAAATAATTTTAAAAAAATTTCGCAGTTTGCAATTTTACTAACACCTATTTGCTTACTTATATCACAATTAAATATTGTTTTATTGAAATAAAAATGAAGTTAAACACATCAGATACATCCTATCCCACAGTGAAATGTACAGTTCGCAGAAGTTTACCTTGTATAACAGCTAACAGATCTGAAATTTAAATATGAACGGGCACCAAGAAGTCTAAAAGTGCTCTCGAATTCTGATTTCTTTTCTATACACAAAAATGGCAACAGCTTTTGAAAACATAAATTTAGAACTACCTTTCAACTGCTTTAAAGATTTACATGCTACCAACACACGAGAAAACAACATTATAAGTTGATATCTATTACTATACTTGAAAAATTACATGAAAATCCGAAACCAATAATTACAGAGTAAATAAAGAACCAACCTTATGTTAGCTCTCTCAAAAATATGAAAAGTTGATACTTATTGCTTACTTTGGTGACTATCTCATAGCATGTTTAATGTTTTAAAGGAACAATTGACAAATTTTACTTTCCTCAAACAAAACGACAACTACAAATCCAGATAAAACACGTTTAAAGCATATCTTAAATTCATTAAAACAAATTCAGAACAGAAACATTTTTTTCCTAGAAATAAATATACATTAACTTAAACGATTGATTTACTAATTATAATTTTCCAAAATCGCTATTTTTCTGAATATTTCACGAATTTGAATCAAAATTATTACTTAGAAGTTTAGTCTAAAAATTTGAAACTTGAGCTAGGAAAATATTACGAGCATAAAATTAATAGTCCCTTAGAGACACACTATGCTTCAATGCTAATATAAAGAATGATCTTTCATCGATTCAAAATTAAGTAAAAAAAAAAACGTATGATTGAAAAATATACATATTTATACGTAGGCTGAGCAACGTAGACAATATAAAGCATCATAAGGTAATGTAATTGCAGGAGTAGTAGTTCTATACATGCTAGTGAATACTGCAACAAATTATGCAAATTTTTTCCTTTCTGTTTTTCGATAACAAAATTTAACAAAATAAATATTACATTAATTTGAACAGTTCTCAAGCACCTATTCATAAAACCACCAGTAGAAGATTCGATTAGCACTTTTATATCTTTAAACAAACCCACGAAAAAATAAAATATTCCTTCGTAGATTTTCGAAAATTAAGAGTAAGTCAAATGTAGGCAAAAGATTAATAATTAATTACTATTTTGCTTACCAATTAACTTAAAAATGTGCGAATTCTTCTAAGATTTTAAACTTTTGTATAATTTCAACAAAATTTAATGTATGCCATCGATACTTCTTACTACTAAACAAATTTGAAAGAATATTATTTTACATATTAAATACAAACTAAGTAGAAAGTTTCATCTATTCTCACATTTTATTCGCAAGCGAGTGAGAATCTTCCAAACAAACAAGCAATAATAGAGATTATTCTCTATTATCAAGAGTTTACAAATTTAACAAGAATCAAAATTCTCAAAAATTCATCACTGAGTTCTTAGGAAGATTCAATTGGAACCAAACTGCTACTATCATAGCACGCAAACTTGAGAGATTTTTAAAATTATGCGAAATTAGCCAGTATCCGGTATAGAAGTAGTTGAATATTTTAAAAATGAAAGTACTTATATATGCAAATTACAGCTGTGCATATATGAGAGAACAAAAAACAATAAACAAATGCATTTGAAGAAAGAAAATAAAAACATACGAAGTTCACAAAGGATACTGTCATGGACTGCGCGCAAATTTCATGATGGCACTTGAAGTAATGGAAAAATAATAGAAAAAATAATTCTTGCTCACAAAATAATGCATAAGTAAATTAACGGAAATAAAAAAAATTAGCATAGTCAAAAGAGAACGATGATGAAAATAAGCGAATCGAGGTAGAATAATAAATCTGTTATTAGGATAATTTTTATTCATAATTTAATACATTATTTAATTTTTTCCAGTTTGTGCTAATGCACATAATCATTTTTGCATGCTAATAATCTTTCATATATTAAAAATTTCATTTCTGAAAATAAATTAACAAAAAATCTATCAATAATATCTTTTTATACAAGCACTTCACTATTAATAAACTAATCTAAATATGAATTTTAGCAATAACTTCAAAATATTCACTGAGAAGTTTTTTGAGAAGTAAATTTCATTTTATCTTAGTGTGTATTATTAAACAATTTTTGATTGTTTCCATGCATTGGGTAGTGTATTTTGTGGTCGAGAGGTCATATGACCTGTTGGTATTGAAGAAAGAGTTATAGGCATGTAATGATGATGGGGAGGTGGAGCAGGTGGTGGATTAGCGGTAGGAATGAGAGGTCGATTAACCGCTCCTGAAGTTACAGCTAAAGTGGTAGCATTGTTCATTCGACCTGCTGAACCGAGTTTAGCTGGTGCTGCAGAGCACAAACCACAGCATATTGTTCGCTGCCAAGAATGGAATGTCTTCGATGATATTGTCCACATTCCTGTTGAAATGCCTACTGCCAATGACATGAATATACTCAAAAAATATAATTCGACCTGAAATAATATACCTTAAATCAAATAAATAAACCATTTCTTATGCCTTTACAAATTAAAAATAATAACAGTAATAATAGTAATAGATTATTAACATTAATAATAATAACAATATCAATGAATTAAAAAATAAAAGCAAAACAGCAAAGGAATACTAATAATTACCTGTGGTAACAAAGGCCTTTTACAGTAACCTCGTTCAATTCCACCATGTAATTTGCAAGCAATAGTAGCTGGATGCCACTGCATCAGAATTAGCATGTGGTAGCAATCACAAATAATTATTGTCACAGAAGGGATTATGTATAGTGCACTGAAGATACTCATTTTTACCATTAACTTTTCCAATTTTGATGTATCGGTTCCCTGTAACCAAAAATACCATAATTTTTTCATTCTTCTACGGTAATATTTTAATTTTGCTAGAATTTTTTTTTAAAACATTGAAAAAAATTTTTTTTTTAAAACACTGAAAAAATTTTTTTTTAAAACACTGAAAAAGAGATCATTTTTTAAATTTAAAAAATAAAATAATAGCAAAACGAAACTAAAGATTACTTTACAGCGTAATAAAAACCAAAACTGAACTCTTCTCTCTGTTTTAATTTTAGAATAACACTTTGGTTTCGATTAGAAAAACAAGTTCGAACAATAAAAAAGTGAACTTACTCGTCTTCTGAAAGAATCTCGTTCTCGGCACATACTTGAGAAACCGGCAAGTATAAGACAACTTCCAACGACAACGAAAATAATCTTAGGTACAATTATAAAACCAACCAAAGCCCAAGGGTCAGAGTTACCCACTGAACACAAACCTGTCAACTCATTCGCATCAATCTACAAAGTAGTAATTTTAACGTAAAATAAATTTCATTTTTTATTAATGGAAAAAAGAATCACAAAATGAAGTATAATAAATCTGCACAGATTATTATCAAATAGCAGCTCATTTTTTGAGTGAAAGTTTTGTAAAGTGAAACTGTTAAAAATATTTACATAATGTATGTGTAAATGCCGGCAATGAAATTCAAGATCATAAATCACAAATCCGTCGTGAGAAATTACTAATGACCTTGACAAGGTCATTGAATTCGAATTATTCCTTATAATTTATCATTAATAAATCAGTCTTTTCTTATCAAATCTTTTACGAAAAATTTTTTTGTTTGAACAAAAATTGCCACGCTGAAGAAGTAAGTGATTTTTGTGCTACTAAAAACTATCCAATAATTCATTTATTTGATAGTCAGAAATAACGCAAATGAAACCAAGAAAAACCTTATATTTGAAAATTTTCAAGAAAATAGTTACTTTGTGAGTGGTAAGTGCAGCGATAGTTAAAATTGCTGGAAGAATCCACGCGACAAGGTGAAGGTAACTGCTCCATGCGTCAATTCCTTCTGGAACCCATTTGCGAGCAGCTGAAAGATACCTGAAAAATTGCATATTTACCAAATATCATCCAGAGATTTGAAAAAAACCTTGTGTTGCTGCTCTGTCTTTTGTTTTAATTTCCAACTTAATAACTTAAAAAATTTCGATTTTAATTAATATAAACCAAATATACCTAAGTTTCAAGTTTTCCTTAGCAGGATTTTTACCACTTTATGGATAATTCTTCATTGCATTAATTTTTTAACAAATATAGCACACAATTTATAATATAAAACATTGCTCTTTTCTATCATTAAAAATCTTTTGCAAATGAAAGCAGAAAGACCAGACAATTTTAAGCCCAAATCAGCCAAAAGTTGTGTAGCTATTTCAGAATTCTTTTCAAGAAATATAATTTCGCCTTGCTTACTTTCATGCTAGCACTTAAGCCTGGAATTTAGACACATTTGTATTTGTGTTCATTAAATAAGGAAGAACTCAAAAAGAAAGTTAATCCCAATCTAATTTACTCTCACTCAGTTCTGCTAAAGGAAGGAAACAAGAAAAACTTAGCAATCTTTAGTCTTGATTAGCATATGTCTTTACTGGATATGTCAACAAAATAATTCAATGACATTTAACTTTAAAAAATTCTAAACTTTGAAAATAATTACAAAAATTCATCAAATACTTATAAATTTGTTAAATTTTAATACTTAAAAACTTGAAATTCATTTAATTGCTTGCATAATTAACTTTTATCAATTTGGCAAAAAAAAAAGTAAATGAGTTATGCTGCGTTTTATAACACTGAATCTCGACTACACTATCAATCAGTATTATTCAAATTTTTATAAATAATTTTATGCTCTACTCTCTGTAAGTAACACAGGTAAAATAGCTAGAAGCGATAAAAATAATGAACTATCCACTTGATGTGTTGAGCAGAGAAAATTATGTGAAAATGAATTTGAATAAGACAAACCATGTAAAAGTAAGCATAAGCCACCACAGACTGCTAGCTATGGAAAAGTAATAAGTGAGTATGAATGAAATGACACAAGGAGTATTGTCCAAAGTACCAACAATAAGAAATGCTTGTCCAGTTGGCAACTTGTCGCAAGCAGTTCGCTCGTATGAAAAAATCGTGCGACTTAACGGCGGTAACGAAAACACAAGGTAACAGGCCGAAAGATAAAATATTGACCTGAAAATAATATAATTTCAGTAAGTATGAAATTCCATACTTGAGTAATTTTAATAAATTATTACAACTAATTCATTAATGCATTACACATGCATTAGCTGAAATGCATAAATCATCAAAATATTGGCGAAATGAAAATTACGATTACTGTTGACTGCAGCAAACTTTAAGTAAGCTTATGATTTTATTAAGGCCTTAATAAAGACTTGTATTTTCTTTTCTTATTAGGCTTGGCAACTGAATTACTATTTTTAAACAAGCCATTTGTTTTTTACATAATATGTAATCATCTTCACATTAATTCCTTCAAATGCGATCATTTTTTATTGCTGTACTTTGTACTGCGAGACAGTGTCACAAGAAGGATTCACACGCATATACAACTAGTTTTGCCGCAAGTAGTTTCAATTTTTTACGCAGGTTTGGTACTCATTTACATATTCACGCAATTTTTAAATTCAGATTTTCTAATATGGCAATAAGTAATAGAAAGTAACATATTGCAATGATTCTAAGTAAGATATCAAAAAAGATTCTGATGGAAATATCAAGCAGAATAAATTCACTCGAATATCACTTAAAGATATTTCTGTCCAAAATAGCTCTTAAATGAGCTATTTGTTATTGACTACTTTTATTATTCAACTCTTATTAATTAAGAGTGCTGATTTTTTTTTTTAAATAAGAATTTTCATCGTAACCATAATTACTAATAAGGAGACGTTGAAATAAACCTTTCAGGGAAACGAAAGCGTTGACGATCAATTAAAAACGTAAAGACGGTGAAAAGTGTAACTCCAAAATTGACAGAAGCCCACAAAAGTATCCAAAAACGAGCAAATTCTTTTTTTGATCCATCGAACATTCCTTCACGATTACATGGAAACATGCATAAACCACGTCGATCTGTTGGGTCTAAGTTCACAAGATCATGTGGACAAGAGAGCATGGTTTTGGAGAATATTCGACCATCCAAACTTGGGACTTGTTCTCGATGATCTCTTTCAAACTGTCTAAAAATAAACAAGAGTATTTTTACAACTAATAATTATATTTAGCATTTATAACAAACAAAGAACTGAAAAACATTCTACATATCTTTTAAGCTTTATAACTTCTTGAGATGTTACTTCAATCTTTCCTTGAATCAATGAAAACAAGAGGTCACTTAAGTGCACATTACCAACAAGTTTTGTTACAAATACCAAAAATTTTTCTGCAGTCTAATGAATTAAGTAAACACAGAAAGTTATGTTATTCTAAACAAGATAAAATGCATATATATTATGTTTACTTATGCTCACAGAAACTTTTCAGTGCATATTGTATTTACGATTATTAACTTCATGATAAGCACTAAGGACGAAATTCAAATTTTTGAGTAATCCGACATTCCTTTCATGTACAAAAATTATTAGTGATACAATGATAAAGCTACAATAATACAATGATAATAAAGGTGATAAAAGCTGTGCAATAAAAATTCCAAGTTTTTTCTATTTTCGGCAGTAATGTAAACTGCTATGTTAAATCTTTGAGAAAAAATTTTACTCGCCAAAATAAAATAAAATAAATAGTAATAAAAGCAAGGAATAATCTTTTTTAGTTATTTTTTGGTAATAAATTTTTGCAGTAATACTTTGTGCTATTCAAAGATATTTTCGTTGCAGAAAGTAAAACCTTCTCATTATCATAACATTATTTACAAATAAACAAGTCATTTGATCCGTTCAGCTTGTTACAAATTGAATTATTAAGTAGATCACTACCATTTAGCAACTAATACCTTGAAACTTACTCTAACACGCACAGTAGGCAATTACAATCACACAATTTACTGTATCTCAAATTTTTAGTGATGACAATAAAGTAATCAGAGAAATAATTCCTGTGATGCCTGATAAAACTTATTCCTCAATTTCTTATTAAATAATTGCTGAATATATTGAATAACATATATTCATTACCAAACAATCTCTTAATCATTCATTTCAAGTTTTGGACGAAGTAATTATCATTAATGTTATTATTATTCCTATTTTTTGTCATTACATCAAAAAACAAACAACCGGATATACTGTCATCATGTGAATTTTTAGTTTCTAAATATTTATTACTACTTAAAAAAGCATATATTTCAACTTTTTTTTTGCTGAAACCTTAGGGGAACTATGTTTGCAATGATTGTGATTATTAGACATTTGATTGGATGAAAAAAATAATTGTGATTTCCACAAGATCAATTAGTATTAGTAGAAATGGTAATAGTACTATGAATGCATTGCTGCGATTAAACTAAGCAAAATCAAACACTACAATTTTACGTTGCTCAAAGATAATATGAACTGCAAACTATATCTTCCAGATCATGAAAGCCTAATTCAAAAGTTAAGATTTGAAAGTTAAGAACTTGCTAATACAATACGAATGACTCTATTTGCTATCATTCTTTACGTTTAAAAGATTTGCAAATGAATAAAATGCAATAAATTTTTTGTCTTAAACTCATAACATAATTGCTTTCTTTTAATATTTGAAGGCCAAAGAAATCATATTTATTCCATAAATAGTTATATTAAATAGAGAAGTCAATTACAAAAGCTGATTTACAAGAGTAAAATTTTACTACTAATGATTAAGCGTAAATTCCATTGTTAACTACTGAATCACTAATTTCATGGAGTCAGAATTTGCTTTCTCCAGAAAATAAACCCAAACAAGTTAAACATATACTTACTCTGGACCAAGGTAGCTGTTGTGGTCGTTAGTCGGTTTCATACATAGATCTGGAGCTTCTGGAAAACGGCTACAATTCAGTGGTTCAGGCCAATCAATTCCAAATTCTTGTAAAAAGGATACGCAGTCACGTTTGACCTAAAAATAAGACGAATGAATTCAAAAATTATGCATGATGTATGAAAATTTGATGTGGACACAATTTATATGAACGATCATTATTTGCGTACATTTTTTCTTTCTAAATGAATTACTCATCACTGCTCGCATTCACTGTTAACACTTGATAACTACAAAATAAGCCAACAACTGCTACAAAAATAACAAATCAAAGAAAAAAATTGATAGAATCAATGAGTCATGCAGTTATTGATAACAAGAAATTATATTTAAATTTAGACTAACAAAATATCCTAAATGAAATTACGCCACTTTGATCAGTTTCTATTTGTATGAAGACAGATATGATTAAAATGAAATTAGATTGAGTATAGAAATGAGAAAGAGAAGTAAACAGGAACTAGGATTTAATGAGAAATACTCAAAATAGTAAAATTATTTATTCAAGATCGATTAGAAAACTAAATATTAACCTCATTAACAGAAATGACCTATGGACAGCTACAGCACAGCCTCTGTCAAACAAAAAGCGTGACCTTACCAAAACTAACCTATACTTCACCTAAACCACCTGCTTGCTTCTTTCTCAATACACCTGTTATAGCAATTCAAATTACTCATTTGCCAGTGTTATATTATTTTCTGACAATTTTCAAATTAAGCAACCATAAATTAGCATAAAAAGTAATTTATGAATGAAAAGATGTGGGGCATTGTGCATACGTTACTACTAGTAATTGAAAAATGCACATTCTGAGATACAAATAAGGCATTTAAATTTTGTTGCTCTCAAAAAATTCTAGTAAAAAGTAATATATTGTAGGAAAGAACTGAAAACGCTTTTCCAAGACGACAAATCTGATCTGCCATTTATTAAACAAATCCGACAGTATCCAATATTTCTTTAGTTAAGAACAGTCAATTACTATCTTAAGTAGAGTAGAGTAATCAATTGATCTTGCTAAATTCGTACTATCTTTAATTTATTATAATCAATTACTTTAGATAATAGCAATTCTTTGTTATGCTATTACTGCTATTTATCAAAAACTATCAAACATCGTTTGAACAATAAAATTAATATTTAAATGTGATCAAAATGATTGATCCCTTAGATATAGGAATGAGTTCTGTGTTTTGCTGCCTGTAGGGATCGTTTTTCAAAGGTTGTAAAATGAGCAATAAAACCGTCCCCATCAATTCTGATGCAGTGATGCAGTCAACGCGTTACAATTAAATGTTTACTAAAAACTGATTTTTTCCTTTTGAATTATCAATCGATAATGATCGAAATTAATAGTTCTGCTTTTGCTCGCTTTACCTGCTAACTTTTATTTTTTTCAAGTATAGATTATTGCATATTTTACAAATATAATCACGCATTTTCAAATTACTTTTATTTGATTTGACTAAAAGTAGAGATACAGAAATGAATGAATGTACGCATGCAATAAGAAATTAAGAAAAATAATGCATAAAAAGAAAATTTGTTTACTTTTTCTATTTTTGCATTAATCACACTCTAACTAAATTTAGTATTACTAAAATGCAAGTCAATTTATCCTTACTTAAATTAATGTCCTCTAACACTATTCTGCGACTACTTTAAGTTGATACAATTATAATAACCAAAAATTAATTTTGCAAAATTCTTTATAGCTAAAAATTGGATAATTTTTTTTCTTTTTCTTTTAAAAAGTGATCATTCTGAGAGATAAATTAAATGGTTCAAAGATTTTAAATGACTAAGAAAGTTTTGGTTGGCCATAAGGCTCACTTACTTAATGTTTAAATTGGCTTCAAAAGTAAGACTTGAGAACTAAATAGCTTTCTGTCCAATTTAATATGAATTATTTCTTATCGTGAACCAAAAATAGCAATTATTGCTGGCTTAGTTTGTTATAAACCAAATAAATAAGTCAATAAACAAAACCATTACTACTATTTATACTTATACAGGAATTAGAATATGATAGATAAATGCTTCCATATATAAGCAAGCATTTATCCATCACATCCCAATAAATTTGTAATTTCTGCTTTGCTTTCCTCTCACTTTCAACTAACTTCAAATGAATAATAAATGTCATAATATAAGATGAAATAATTATACTCTAAACAGCGAATGTTTGCAGTAATGTTAGTCATTTTCCATAAGAATAAGTTTTTCAGAGATAATTACTGAGCAGAATTGTTTTGATATTTTTATTCTTTTTTTACAAGACTATAAATTGTTCAGTATGTGCTTGTGAAGATAGTAATTTGAAGGAAAAGTTAAAATAAAAGTTCGCAATTGAAACAGATGCAAAGGTATTTTGAGACGCATAAACACATCTAAAATCCAAAGACAAAAAAATCCTTGACATTTTCTCATAACGCTTCAAATTATCAACTTTTGGATGAGTCGTGTCATAGCACTTATTTACAAGACAAAATGGCAAAAGATTATGCAAATGACAAAGGTAACTGAAAAAAATTGCTGTTTACCTCACTTTTTCAAGCACTGTTTTGATACGAAGAAAAAAGCACCATCATCAGCCTAAGCAATATTGGATAATCTTGTAAATAATAATCAAGTAATACTTTAACAGAATAGAAGAAAAAATTATATTTTAACTTTGTTGTTCTTACGACAATATTATTGCTAGTTGAAAGTAAATATTTGGCTAGTAATCGTAAGTAAGTCATTATGGCAATCTATTTATACTTCAGAAAAACTTCAAAAGTGTAAAGCTAAGAAGCTAGATAATAACGGTGAAGGCATCTGCGAACATGCAATGTTGTTAAGATTTCAGTAGTATCCTTATAAGTATAAACAAGTGCTCTTTACTAACAGATAAGACAGAATCTTAGGCAAATAAAAAATTCAAAGATTTGAATTATATATATAATAAAGTCTTATTTTTCCTCGCAGTGAATGAAAATTACGTCTCATGGGAATGTTTATAATTAATTACAAAACAATGTAATTTTCAAGACAATTATGGTATCTCGAGATCATTTTTGAAGTAAGAAAGTGCAAA